CCTTTCAGAAACGGATCTTAATTGCAACGCCCTTTGTCTACGACGCTGATATTCATTTCTGCATAAACTTAAGGACCCATTACAACTCCTTACTCAGTATTCATCTTTCAATGTCTTTGAAAGTGAATGTATGGATCAAGATTTCTCCAGTGTTGTTATATCTTTCTTTAACCTTCATTGAAATTAGATAAGTCTTGGAACTCCCATTCAAATATAATGTTGCACAAGACTAGATTAGACATTCAAATTAATGTTGCACAAGATTGTAAAAGATTTCATTTCCTAAAAAGAGTATTGTAATGCAAAAAGGACACAATAAATGTCCATAAGTAATTATTTTACATTCTGAAAATAAAGTGGACGTCGAAGTCAGTATGTTATTCTACCATCATTTTTTTTATTTTACTTTTTGTTCATAATAATATCTTGATACTTCAAGATATGAGAGTTCCAGCATATGAGTGGTATTAAATACTACCCATAATTAGAATGATATTTCTTCTTTGAATCACAAGCCTATGAGATACGAGCCTGCTTCAGTGAGCCACAGTCACCACTCCACTCAGATTCCCGAGTCGTACGTGTTAAATAAAAATGGATAACCAGAATATTTTGTCACAAATATATCTTCAACCTTATTCAGTCTTAAAATAAAAAAAAGGAATGATTCGAAAATCTTCTGTCAAACTTTACAACTGTTTATTATCTAACCCCTCCCCCTAAACACTTAATAATAAAAACATTATCAAATGGAATGAGTCATGTTATGGGAGCCAGCTTAAGTCAGATTTTTTTTTATTCTGTTATTAAAAACAAAGATCCTTGCACATACTTCTATTGAAAAAAGAAACATGTGAAAGGGATGAAAGTGATAAAAGTGTGGCAAAAAAGAAAAAAAAAACATTATTGAAGATAAGGAAAAATGAAATGAGAGAAAAAAATGATAACATACTCGAATTAGCTAAATCGATATCTAATTGTTCCATTTGATTATGTTTTTCATGAATGTATGGATTTGGTTTTGCTTAGCTTGTATAATTTCTTCATTATAAAATCTCTAGCTTATCAAGAGAAGACGGTTTAGAGGGTATGAATTAATGGAATTCTGGAATGAATTAATCTGCTTTCAATTAATTTCTTTTGGCAAAATTGATTTGAGATACAATCATTGTGACTTAAGAGCTCGTACTTGTAATGAATAAATTCGTATCAAAAATGTACCACTTTGTATCAAATGTTCAGTTTGTAGAAAATATATTCTATGAAAAAAATTATTTTAATGAATGAGATCTCTTCACTCTTTTTCGTTTAATTTTATTCTATTTTCTTTTGGTGGTAAAAGCTCGATTAAACTCTTAAAGGTTCAAAAAAATACTACTGTTTATACTTTTCTTGGTGTTTCGAAAAAAATCACCGTTTATATCTTTGTCGGTGTTCTAGTGAAAGGTACTGCTATATTATAACTTGACAAAATGTGAACTTTCTTTTTCTTTCAGGAGTCGAAACTTTTTTTCTGAAAACACGTACATTTTAGTCAATTAACATAAGGACATATGGAGTAACGACTGCAAGACTTTTGGATGATTGTTTCCATGCATAGATGATTACAAAAGAATTCCCATATTTCTCCGAATTTGGTATCATTAGAAAAAACAAATAAAGAAAATTGTTTTATTAAAAATATACCGGGTATATATGAAACCTAATATTTTTTGTGCTTATTTTTGAGAATGAAAAGTTTGAAAGATTTGATCAAATAAGCATGTTGTCATAAAATGATGGAAAAGTTTTGTTGTTGTTGTGACTGATCCTCAGTATTCGGCCGCGCGGCGGACATCCCATGAGTAGTGCACTTATGGAGGAAGGGAAACGGAACAGTTTCTGTTGTGATGGATCACCCATATATAGAAGTCTGACTTGGCTCCGAAACGCAGAAAAAAAAAAGAAAAATGCCTTCCGAGAGACCCGTAATATTCCCAATAGGTATTCTGACTCGTGGCGCAAGATGCTGAACAACACAAATGCCATCAAGTTTTCTTGTTTTTGAAACAGTGTCCACAATAAAGCCGCCAGCGGATTGAACCTCAGCCATAATGCTCACCAGCGTTGCACGTTACCACTGGACTACGAGTTGAGTAAAGTTAACTTATATCACCCAGAGTTCCATGGCAGGAACAAATTTCTTTTTACGTCGTGAGAAGATTAAAGAAACTCAATTATTTTAACAGGAATTCAGGATACTACATGATGTCACAGTTCTTGTAAGAAGAAAACAGAAGTTCAACTAACTAATATTTATTGACATAATAGCATTTAAGACGATCACACGAACACAACGCACATTTCACAGCTATTAACAATCTGCAGCAATGCCTTTTTAGGTAAAAACCGTTACATTTCGACACGTTCAAAGCGACAGTAACCAGACCGCACCATCCTGCAAGAAGCCAAAATTCAGACGGAAACTAAATCGATTCTCATAGGATGGAGAAATCACGTGAGCTATTACATAGACGTTACACTGCGTTACATTGAAAATAAATTTAGGATGATTTGAGCCAGGGGTTCTCTAGATAGGGAAACTGAGTATTACAAACTCAATTAAAATTATAAGTAAAAAAACATTTTCATTAACATAAAAAACAATAGATGATTTATTAATTTTTTTCCTTATATTTCAAACTCACAAAATTAATATTCCATAATTTTCTTCAGCCAAAATTTCCATAAACTTAAGTGTAAGCATCCTAAGTGTAATTTGATGTAACATATGTTACGTGATTTATTATTATAATAATCACAATATTTTAAAGTTATCTAACTATACAAATTATTTTGCAGTTCATTTAAAGTGAAAAAAAATCCATGAGAAGCCCTTCAAAATAAAAGATAAACACAAAATTTAACTAAACAATATCAATAATAATAATAATAATAACATAATTTGAACTAATTAATAAAAAATAAATAATATCAAGATTTTGAAAATCGGAGAATTTAATATAAAAATGCTTGTGGAGAAATGCTCATTTTACCATTCATTTTATATGACTAAGGGTTTTCATACAGGATTATTCAATGCTAGAGAGCTAAATTTGAGTTGTGTTTTGTGGTTTATTTAATCTGCCCATTATATAATTTAGCTAAATCATTAGCTAATCATTAACTAATCTAGCTCTAATTCTGACTAAAATAGTAATTATTCAATTTAGAATAAAATGTATAAAATATTTATTACAATTTAGAATAAAATGTATAAAATATTTATTACAATTTAGAATAAAATGTATAAAATATTTATTACAATTTAGAATAAAATGTATAAAATATTTATTACAATTTAGAATAAAATGTATAAAATATTTATTACAATTTAGAATAAAATGTATAAAATATTTATTACAATTTAGAATAAAATGTATAAAATATTTATTACAATTTAGAATAAAATGTATAAAATATTTATTACAATTTAGAATAAAATGTATAAAATATTTATTACAATTTAGAATAAAATGTATAAAATATTTATTACAATTTAGAATAAAATGTATAAAATATTTATTACAATTTTGATGAAAATAACAACTTCAGACATTAAAACTTAATACCAATGACAAATTTATTTATTCCATTATCTAAAAGAAGGCTATTATTTTGAAGAAAATTTTTTAGTCTCTTTCAGTTGTCTTATTTAATAAAGTTTCTTACCTATAATGTAAATGAAATTTTAAAAACACAATGTATATTTAAAATAAATAGCTGTACTTATTTTTCATTATTTGAATAATTTATGTTGTTCTCTTATTTTCCATGTTAAGGTTTACATCTTCCAATTCAGCGACTAAGAATTGCAACGAAATGTAAGCATTTCTACTTATTTATATAGAAAGAAAACTAGCAATGTCTGCTATAAATTGATTAAGTATAAAGTAGTTTCATTATCCTATGAACAGGTCTATTGGATTTTAAAATATCCTTTGTTTTGAACATCTTAGTAATTCTATCTTCAGTTGTCTAAGGGATAGAAAGTATTATATATGTAAATTCTAATTCTTATTGAAGTAGGAACCATTCAATTTAGATTAAAATGTATAAAATCGTCACATATTTATCAAAATTCTGTTGTAATTAATAACTCCAGACATTAAATCTTAATACCACTGACAAATTTATTTATTCCATTAACTAAAGAAACGACATTATTTTGAAGAAAACATTTTATTCCCTTTCCGTCGTCTAATTTTAAAATATTTGTTTTCTTTTAATGTAAACGAAATTTTAAAAACACAAAACAAAGAACTGCACTTATTTTTCATTATTTGAATAATTTATGATGGCCTCTTATTTTCATTCAGTTAAAGTTTACATCATTTTAATCTTTCTTCTACTTCCAATTGTGCTACTGAGAATTGCAACAGAATGCAAGCATTGCTACTTATTTATAATAGCTTGCAAGTTCAATCAAGCTCTTAAAGGAAATTTTTTCTGTTAAAAAATAAAAAATTGTTTAAAAGAATTTTTCGGAATTCGCTATTGCTACTTATTTATATAAAAAGTAAACTGGCAATATCAGCTATAAAATGATTAAGAATAAACTAGTTTCATTATGCTATGAACAGATCTATTGGATTTTAAAATGTCTTTTGCTTTATACATCTTAGTAATTCTATCTTCAATTCTCCAGGAACAGAAAGTATTTTAAGTGTAAATTCTAATTTTGATTGAAATAGAATTCAATTTAGAACACAATATATAAAAACTTCATATATTTATTAAAATTTAGTTGAAAATAATAATTTCAGACATTACATCTTAATACCACTGGCAAACTTATTTATTCCATTACCTAAAAGAACGATATTATTTTGAAGAACAATTTTCGACAATTTTCTTACATTTAATGCAAACGAAATTTTAACACACAATTAATATTTAAAACAAATAACTGTACTTATTTTTCATTATTTTAATAATTTATGTTGTTTTTTAATCTTTTTATTCCATACTGAATATACCGGTTCTCCGAAGTTAAGCATTATTGGGCGCGGTCAGTACTTGGGTGGGTGACCACCTGGGAACACTGCGTGCCGTTGGCAAATTTGGGACCTGAATATTTTCCTTCAGTTAAAAATTACTTTTTGTTTTCTTTTTAATCTTTTTATACTCAATTGTGCTACTAAGAATTGCAACAAAATGCAAGCAATACTATGCATTTATATAGAAAGTAAACTGTCAATGTCATCTGTAAAATTATTAAGTATAAACTAGTTTCATTATCCTATGAACTAATTAATTGGATTTTAAAATGTTCTTTGTTTTGAACATCTTATTAAAGCTATCTTCAGTTGCCCACGGGCAGAAAGTATTCTAAGTGTAAATTATAATTCTGATTGAAATAAGAACAATTTAGAATAAAATGTATAAAATATTTATTACAATTTTGATGAAAATAATAATTGCAGACATTAAAACTCAATACCACTGACAAATCTGTTATTCCATTAACTAAAATATTTCATTTCCTTTCAGTCGTCTAATTAAAATTACTTTTTTCTTTTACTGTCAAAGAAATTGTAAAAACACAAAACAAATAATTGTACTTATTTTTAATGATTTGCATAATTTGTGATGTTTTCTTATTTTCCTTCAGTTAAAGTTGATATACTTTTTCTTTTTTAATCTTTTTTTCTACTTCCAATTGTGCTACTAAAAATTGCAACAAAATGCAAGCATTGCTACTTATTTATACAGAGAGTAAACTAGCAATGTCAGATTTAAAATGATTAAGTATAAACTAGTTACATTATCCTGTGAACGAATGTATTGGATTTTGAAATGTCCTTTGTTTTGAACATCTTAGTAAAGCTATCTTCAGTTGTCCAGGTACAGAAAGTACTAAGATTGTATATAAATAATAAATTTCATGTAACTGTTTGGAAAATAAATAGCTTGGAAGTTCAATCAAGCTCTTAAAGGATATTTTTTTCTGTTAAAAAAAAGTGTTTAAAAGGATTTTTTCGGAATTCGTAATTCCTGCAGTCCGGAAAACGGACGGAGGATAATAAATTATTTTATTCTTGTACTGGAATTATATCAATATTAATGATTTGCTGGAAAATGCTAAGGAAGTACGCTCAGACAAACATTACAATTTTCAAAAGCACTTATTTATACATAAGATTTTATATTTTAAGAAACTTTATTTTTATACGTTTTATTTTTATTTTGTTATTTTAGTATATTTGTCAGTATTGTTTTATGTCTTTTACTTTGCATTATAATTTATTATTATTATTATATTTAATTGTTTCTGATTTTTCTATTTTATAATTACTGCAATTTAAAGATGTATTGAGTTGATAGTGATGCAAAGAAAACTGTGCCGTATGCATGATGCCAATTTGTGCTAATAAATACTATATGTGTGGAAGATTATAAAAATGAAATATATAAAACAGTAATGCATGGAATTAAATATATAGAAAATTGCAAGATCTTGAAGAAATAGATTTTTATAATAAATGTACTTGTTTTTTTATTTATTCGTGTTTATTTTAACATTGCGTTTTTAATCTTCTTCATGGTGACAAGTTTTTAATGTAATCTATTGAACAATTTAACGATTAAAACAATTGACTTCATGAAAAAAAAATCAATCCAAAATCAATCCAAAATCATTATTAGATTGTTTAAAAATGTATCATTTTGTATATTATTATTTTCATAAAATTAAATAAATTAACATTTCATAAAATAAATTAAATTTTAATACCACTGACAAATTTATTTAATGCATTACCTAAAAGAACGACATTATTTTGAAAAAATATTTTATTCTTTTTCAGTTGTCTAATTTAATAGATTTTCTTACCTTTAATGTAAACGAAATTTATATTTTCTTCAGTTAAAGTTTACCTCTTTCTTCTGCTTAAAATTGTGCTACTAAAAATTGCAACAAAATTCAAGCATTGCTACTTATTTATATATAAAGTAAACTGGCAATGTCAGCTATAAAATGATTAAGTATAAAATAGTTTCATTATCCTATGAAGAGATCTATTGGATTTTAAAATGTCCTTTATTTTGAGCATCGTAGTAAGTCTATCTTGAGTTGTCCAGAGACAGAAAGTATTAAGATTGTATATAAATAATAAATTTCAGGCAACCGTTTGGAAAATAAGTAGCTTGGAAGCTCAATCAAGCTCTTAAAGGTTATTTTTTCTGTTGCAAAATAAAAAAAAAGTGCTGAAAAGGATTTTTTGGAATTCGTAATTCTTCCAGTCCTGAAAACGGATGGTGGAAAACAAATTATTTTTTTCTTGTACTGGAATTATATCAATATTAATGAGTTGCTGGAAAATGCTAAGGAAGTACGCTCGAACAAACATTACAATTTTCAAAAGCAGTTATTTATAAATATTTTATACTTTTAAGGGACTTTGTATTTATTGTTATTTTAATTTTTATATCTTCATTTTTACCATTAATTTTTTTTCCTTTAAGTTACAACAATTTTTTTTATTATTATTTATGTTTCATTTTTTCTGATTCTTCCATTTTATAGTAAAATAAATTTATAGATATATTGAGTTGATAGACATGCATGAAAACAATGCCGTATTTATGAAGTCAATTTCTGCAAATATCACTACATGTGTTAAACTAAAAAAAAACATAATACATAATTATATAAATGAAATCCTAATAGTCTCTACCGTTCTTTCATCTCAAAGCATACAAATCAGACATACCATTCGCAACATACCAAATCAGAGATATAAATGAAATATATAAACATAATATATGAAATAAAATATACTTTATTTGAGTGTAGGATTTTGAATAAACTGATTTTTGTTATAAATGTATTAAGTGTTTTAATTATTTGGATTTATTTTAATAATATAATTTTAATAGTCTTTGTGTTGCAACTTTTTTAATATAATATATTGAGCATTTTAACGACTAAAACAATTTACTTCATGAAAAAAAATATTCCAAACATTACTAGTCTATTTAACAATTTGTCAGTTTATAAATTATTATTTTCATAAATATAGGTTTCTTTCCTATTAAAACAAATCTTTGTTAATTTCATCAACGATAAATTAGAGGCAAAAATGCTTAACCCTATTATTAATATTGATTAAAATTTTAAAATAAATTCAAAATAAAATTTTAATGCATTCATTAAACTTTTTGCAAATTTCTTATGAGCATTCTTTTTATGTATATGGTTTTATGTATTTATTTATATTTATATTTTTCTGTACATTTTTTATAATTTTGATTTCATAAATTTACTAATAATCCTAATATCCACCAGATATACTTACGCACAAAAGGAAATTAAAATCATTTCATGTATTTTTCTAACTATTTCACAGCTCATACCCTCACCTCTCTATTGGATGATTCGGCACTTTGAAGATGAGGCACTTTTATGAATAATATTGATAATCTTTTGGGTATTAGAGAGTTTTTGCATATCGTACGTTAGTTACCGTAGGACGTCCGTTAGTTTTTTCTCCCTAGCGCACATGCTCAGTTTCCTATGAGCATGCGCGCTAGGGAGAAAAACTAACGGACGTCCTACGGTAACTAACGTACGGTATGCAAAAACTCTCTATTATTACTACTCTACAACGATTATCAATTTTGCATTGATATTTAAAAAATGCTCAATTAATGTTACACATGCAAATATTACAATTATATTGCATTACTTATAATTTTTTAGTAATTGTGTTTTCCCATATGTTTGACAGAACATTTAAATAATTATAAAAAGCAAAATAAAGACGTTTTTCTTTGTATTATGTACTTACACAATAATACCATATTTCTTTATAAATAATTTTTATTACTTTAACATTTTAACAAAAATTTCCTTTTATAATAAACATTTCCAAAGGCTTAGCTACATTTCAAACTGTTAAAATATATCAAAATCATTAAAACAATGATTTTAATTTTATTCATTGAAACAATAAAATTTGTTTATATTTATATGATAGATAAACATCATGGATGACTAAAATTGCCTTTATTTGTAATATATGTTGTAACCAGCCTCCTCCTACCCACTGGCAAGAGTGCCTCCTGTGACCTTCAGTAGAAATGGCCAGTTAACCTGAAGACCCACAACAGGGGAGGAAGTATATATCATGCACCCTGCACGTATTCGAGTTTCGTGTTTTCGGCTTAGAAGTTTAAAAGGCATATACTTAGAGATCCTTCCCCAAATCTCTAATTATATGCCTTTAAATGTGTTAAATATTATATGTAGTGTTTGTGCATGTGTAAATAAAATGTGACTTCTCTGACCTGTGCTTCAAGCATCAGAACTCAACCCACTGTTACAATCTAGTTGCCCAACCTGCACACTACAATATACACTCATGTCCATAAATTAAGGATAATTCAGAATCACGCAGAAATTAAACTCTAAAATAAAAATTTCACCTGTAGAATTATCACACACATCTTGAAGAAGAATATGCAATTTACAGGAAACCACCAAATGGCGCGGATAGTACGTCACAATGACGAGAGTGTAAGAGAGGGGTATATAAGGAATGGTGGCAAAGAAGTAAAATTGTTCACAAGCGCTTTAAAAGCCTTTCAGTGCAATAACCGCATAGTTATGGCACAAAGGAAGCATTTGGATGATTTTTTATGTGGTAGAATTATCGGACGACTCGAATGTGGACGTACATAGCTGGAAGTATCCGAGGAACTTGGAATCGCCCAGAGTGTCATCTCCAGTCTTTGGCAATGATTCCAAGATGATGGTAATGTGAGTAGATGTTACAGCACAGGTCGCCCCCGAGTTACAACGCTGAATGAGGACCGGTATTTAGCAGTTACTGCCAAAAGAAACAGACGGAGCACAGCATCAGACCTGTCTCGTCAGCTCTCTTCAGCTACCGGTACGACAGTTTCAAGGCAAACCGTGTACAGACGTTTAGGGCACATTGGTCTATATGCTGGTAGGCCTGTCAGATGTGTTCCACTTACCGCAACTCACTGTCGCCTGCGATTAACCTGGAGTAGAGAGCATGCATTGTGGACACTGGAACAGTGGTCTGG